TCACCACCATCATCACTCATTTCGGCACACCCCTCACACGTTTCGTGGCCCCATGGGGAGCTCCGCCGAGGGTCCCAGTGGGTGTGCCCGCATGCGTCCCGCACACCCATGTCGGCACACCCCTCACACGCTTCGTGGCCCCATAGGGAGCTCCGCCGAAGGTCCCAGTGGGTGTGCCCGCGTGCGTCCCGCACACCCATTTCGGCACACCCCTCACACGTTTCGTGGCCCCATAGGGAGCTCCACCGAAGGTCCCAGTGGATGTGCCCGCATGCGTCCCGCACACCCATTTCGGCACACCCCTCACACGTTCCCCATAGGGAACTCCGCCGAAGGTCCCAGTGGGTGTGCCCGCATGCGTCCCGCACACCCATTTCGGAACACCCCTCACACGCTTCGTGGCCCCATGAGGAGCTCCGCTGAAGTCCCAGTGGGTGTGCCCGCATGCGTCCCGCACACCCATTTCGGCACACCCTTCACACGTTTCGTGGCCCCATAGGGAGCTCCACCGAAGGTCCCAGTGGGAGTGCCCGCATGCGTCCCGCACACCCATGTCGGCACACCCCTCACACGTTTCGTGGCCCCACAGGGAGCTCCACCGAAGGTCCCACTGGGTATGCCCGCGTGCGTCCCGCACACCCATTTCGGCCCACCCCTCACACGTTTCGTGGCCCCATAGGGAGCTCCGCCGAAGGTCCCAGTGGGTGTGCCCGCATGCGTCCCGCACACCCATGTCGGCACACCCCCCACACGTTTCGTGGCCGCATAGGAACCCCGCCGAAGGTCCCAGTGGGTATGCCCGCGTGCGTCCCGCACACCCATTTCGGCCCACCCCTCACACGTTTCGTGGCCCCATAGGGAGCTCCGCCGAAGGTCCCAGTGGGTGTGCCCGCATGCGTCCCGCACACCCATGTCGGCACACCCCTCACACGCTTCGTGGCCCCATAGGGAGCTCCACCGAAGGTCCCACTGGGTATGCCCGCGTGCGCCCCGCACACCCATTTCGGCGCACCCCTCACACATTTCGTGGCCCCATAGGGAGCTCCACCGAAGGTCCCAGTGGGTGTGCCCGCATGCGTCCCGCACGCCCATTTCGGCACACCCTTCACACGCTTCGTGACCCCATAAGGAGCTCCGCCGAAGGACCCAATGGCTGTGCCCGCATGCGCCCCGCACACCTATTTCGGCAGACGCCCCACACGTTTCGTGGCCCCATGAGGAGCTCCGCTGAAGATCCCAGTGGGTGTGCCCGCGTGCGTCCCGCACACCCATTTCGGCACACCCCTCACACGTTCCGTGGCCACATAGGAGCGCTGCCGAAAGTCCCAATGGGACAGTCCGCATGCGTCCCGCATACCCATTTCGGCCCACCACTCACACGCTTCGTGGCCCCATAGGGGCTGCGCCGAAGGTGACAATGGCACAGTCCGCATGCGTCCCCGCAATTCATTTCGGCCCACCCCTCCCACGTTTCGTGGCCCCACAAGAGCTCCGCCGAAGGTTTCCGTGGCACAGTCCGCATGCGTCCCCGTCATTCATGTCGAATCACCCCTCACACGCTTCATGGCCCCATCGGAGCTCCGCCGAAGGTCCCAGTGGCACAGTCCGCATGCGCCCCCGCCATTCATTTCGGCCCACCCCTCACACGCTTCGTGGCCCCATAGGAGCTCCGCCGAAGGTCTCCGTCACACGCTTCGTGGCCCATAGGAGCTCCGCCGAAGGTCCCCGTGGCACAGTACGCATGCGTCCCCGCCATTCATGTCCGCACATCCCTCACACGTTTCGTGGCCCCATAGGAGTTCCGCCGAAGGTCCCAGAGGCACAATCCGAAGGCGTCCCCGCCATTCATGTCGGCTCACCCCTCACACGCTTCGTGGCCCCATAGGGAGCTCCACAAAAGGCCTCCTTGGCGCAGTCCGCATGCGTACCGCAAACCAATTTCGGCACACCCCTCACACGCTTCGTGGCCCCATAGGAGCTCCGCCGAAGGTCCCCGTGGCACAGTCCGCATGCGTCCCCGCCACCCATTTCGGCCCACCCCTCACACGTTTCGTGGCCCCACAGGAGCTCCGCCGAAGGTCTCCGTGGCACAATCCGAAGGCGTCCCCGCCATTCATTTCGGCCCACCCGACACACGTTTCGTGGCCCCACAGGGAACTGCATGCGTCTCCCCCACCCAGCACAGCGCTTCGTGGCCCATATGGAGCCCCACCGAACGTCCCAGCCAGCCAGCTAGCTTTCTCTCTGCTCCGCGCGGCGGACGACCCGCGCGCGTCGCTGGGACCCCTCTGGGGCGACCAGCGCGCGTCGCGGGGGCTCCGTGCTGCGTTCTGCCCAGCGTTTCGCTCGCCCGTCGTCGCTTTGCCCAGCGGCAAGAGCTTTGTCCGCTATCAGCCAGCCAGTCAGCTCTCTTCTTTGCTCCGCGCAGCGGACGACCCGCGCGCGTCGCTGGGACCCCTCCGGGACGACCTGCGCGCGTCGCGGGGACTCCGCGCTGCGCTGCGCCCGCAGCCTTGGACTTTTGAGTGCGCGGGCAAAGAGGGAGTAAAAGAAGGGGAGGAAGCGGGCGCGATCCTCGCGGGGGGGCGCGCCGACATTGGCGTTGCGGCGCGCGGGCGATGCCGTCGGGGAGTCCCGGGGAAGCTCCTTGCGGCGGCCACGCCCAGCGTCGCGAGTACTCAGAGGCAGTCGTTCTCAAAGTATTGACAGTCATATACAATTGCACCATGCTTTGTCGTACTCGCATTCATGCACGTAGACTCGCCCACACGCAGATTCATTCACAGTCAGATGCACTCGCGCTCAGAAACACCCGCGCTCAGTCTCCCTACGTACTCAGATCAATCGTTTTTGCTCGCGTTGTGTACCGCGCCATTCATGTCGGCACACCCCTAGCACGGTTCGTTGCCTCATAGGGATCGCCACCGAGAAAGTGAAGCACTATTGCGGTACTCATACCTGCATATGGTCGGGTCCCTCGTCAGGCTAATTTTCACGCGCGAAGGTCCTGTGAGGAAGTAAAGAGCATTCCCATACAGGCCGCAGAAATCGCAGTTGCTCCGAACAGATCGATGTCCGGTCGCTTCCTGAATGCCTGGAGGGCCCCAGGCACTCAAAAAATCTTCGATCGTCGAACTTCGAATCTAGATTCATTGCCTGTCTCTTTCGATCGAGGAACTGAAACCTCGAGCCGCAAGCGTGGGACCAAGATCGTCGGGTCAGCTCGGCCCTCCAGAGGTCTTCTGAAGCCATCTAGGGCCCTCGTGGGATCCTCCAATGGCCTTCTTGGGGGTCTCCCATGGCTTTCGTGGGTCTCTCTTGGGAGCCTTCTGGGGGCATCTTGGACTTCTTGTGGGCAGTCTCGGGGCTCTCTGGGGAAGTCTTGGGGCCCTCTTGGGCCGTCTTCACACCCTCTGGGGGGCCTCTTGGGCCGTCTCGGGGCGATATCGGGGGCCCATCCGGCCGTCTTGGACGCTGCGAAGACCCCCAAAGCGGATATACTAAACAAATACATTTCCCTTAGAGAATGGATCGATTTGTGCTTCTTCGGGGCTCTCTTAACGGCCTCTTGGGACGTCTTGGGGGCCTCTTGGGCGGTCTTCGGACCATCCAGGTTCCTCTAGGAGCGCTCTTGTGCTGTTCTGGGTCTCTCTTGCGCCTCTCCGATGACCCCTCGGATCGCCAATAGTCTGCTTGCAAGGCCCAGCAAGGCGCCCTGGGAGGCCCTGAAGGGCCGGCGGACCTTTTCCAAGGGCGTCCAGGGGGCCGCCGGGACGTCCGAAAAGCAACCGGAGCGTCCCTGGGGGGGGTCTGGTTTAGGGGGGGGGTCCGGGTAATAAAAATATTGTAATGGTGGGAATAGCTATATAGCTGGCCTGACCCAGAATATGATTAGAAAACTCTACCGAATGGGTTCCGCCCACGTCGACCAGATCTGTACAGTTCCTCCGCGAAGCCACTAAAAGCACTTGTAACCCACTTCTGTGACAGGTTACAATCGAAAGCTGTAGTAAGGACGCGCTGCAAGGACGCAAGACCCCTGGAACGGCAAGCACGCAAGGGTGCCTTTTGGAAGGTTACCCGCCCTTACTATGGATGTTCAATGTAGGCCACATATAACCCGCCTCCGCATCCGCTTCTAAGCCTTGGTTGACCCAAAAGGAGATCCAGCTGAAAGGGGGTGGTGCAATAGGGTTGGGGCGATTGTATTGCAAACGTATTGCGCCAGAGAATTGTATTGCACTGTATTGCATTCAATGTATTGCACACAAAAAACATCAATATACTGACGTCCCGGAATGTATTGCACAATCCGATTCTATTGCAACCCCACAAATCTATTGCACCAAATCTGCTGTACCACCCCCTTTCGCTGGACCCCACCCCGGGCCAACCAGATAAACCCCCCATATCCCCGTAGCAACCCCAGCGGTGATCTCAGCATGGGGGGACCAGCTCAGTGGGGAAACGTCGAGCGGGAAGCGGCGCTGCATCGCCGACAGATCGGCGATGGGTCCACAATGGCAAAACCGCACGCTCCTGGCAACTCACGGGAGCCTCCCATTGTCGGCTCTTGCGAGTCGACGCTAGACGACGCTAACAGGACGCTAAACCGACGCGAAACCGACGCTAAGCCGACGCGAAACCGACGCGAAATCGGCGCGAAATCGGCGCTAGCCCATCCACCCCCAGACGCGAACCGACGCCAATCGACGCCAAAGACCAACCTGCGAGGGCACACGAGGCCCCCGTGCTGTGCCACCGCCCAGCCCTGGCGGCGCGCACAAAGGGGCTGGGGGGAGGGGGGAAGGGCCTCGTAACAGGAGGCTGCTGCTCAGAAGGCGCCGGCCTCGCATCTATAGATTTATACATAAATCGGGCCCGCGCCTTCCGAGCAGGGGGGGGCCTCTCAGAAGGGCGTGGCCGCGCGTGGCCGACATCCCCCCCCTCGCCTTGCCCCCCGAGGTCCGCGCGCCGCCGCCCGGCGCGCGGGCGCCGGCGGCCGCCGCGGGCGCCGCCGAGCCGAGGGGCACCGCCCGCAGCGGCTGCGCCGCCGGGCTGGCCGCGGCCGCCGAGGGCACGAAGGCGGCCATCGGGCCGGCGCGCTGCGAGCGACGAGCGAAGAGCAGACGCCCACACCCATACATAGGGTCCAGGTCGGGCACGTCCCCCATACAGGGGGATACTTGGGACGAAAAAGCACAATTGTCGAGCAATGCTCCAGACATGCTCCCACAAAAGTCCCAGGAAGTCGTCCCCACATTATTTTTGGACCAGTTTTGAAGAGTCCTCCTGCAGAGGGACAGGCCCGACTTAACCATAGGGAGCTCGGACGGAGGAGGGCTGGCTATGAGTATTGAGTGCGGGCTGTCGGACCCCGAGGGAGGCTCCCGTTCCAGCGGGACCCCCAATCCGACAGCACGCACCCGTGGCCCTCCCCGCCCCCCCCTGTGGGTATGGGTGTGTGTGTGTGTTGTTCGTTCGTCAGCAAGGGCACGAGGGGCCGCGGGTGAGCCTGCGGTGGGCGCAGGGATTTGAAACAGAAAAGACGGCATTAACATAATGTGTTGGCGCTACCCGCGGATTTCTTGGATCTGCGCTGGGCCCCCCTCCCTGGCGCGCGGCGCGCGCCAGGGGCGGCGCCGGCGGCGCCGCCGGGGGCGGCCCAGCGCGGATCCAAGAAATCCGCGCGGAGCGCCAAAAGTGTATGTTAATGGCGTTGTTTTCTTCTTCTTCTTCCACGAATTCAAAGCAACACCTGAGCCACATGTGCGAGCCACGAGACCCGTTGAGAGTGATAACCATGGTGCGGCCCATGGCGCCTCCTGCTGCTAGCACTGCGGCCGGGCAGACGACTGCGCGGCCAAGATTTTCCGCACGCTGGCAAAGTGTCGAACGAGTATCGCCTCCCAAGGCCCGACACGGGAAAGCCTATTAGTTTCCGTATTTCGTTGGTGCTCGAATTTCTTTCTGGCAATCATAGCTAAAGCAGGTTGGAACACCAGAAGTCTACGGGGCCCCGGGGGAGAAAGAGGGGGAAGGAGGCGGCTGGTCAAACTTGTCGTTGGCGTTGCTGCCGCTTGATGGCCACTGCGGCCCTAGGAGAAAAAACTGCATATACATAAACCGTCGAAGGCCAGCGCGGATCCTTACCAGTTTATGTTTGTGCAATTGGTTCTTCTTCGAGGCCCGTGGAGGGTGATCACCATGGCGCCGCCGCTGGCGCCTCCTGCCACTGGCACTGCGGCCTGGCGGACGACTGCGCGGCCAAGATTTTCCGCGCCCCGGCACGCGGTACGGCAGCCACGAGCCCATGGCCACCGCAGCGGTACGGGGAGGACCGAGCAATGGGCTCCTGAAGCCGCAGCGGGCTTCGAAAACTGCAGCAGACTGCCGTGCGGCCGGAGGAGACTTGACGGGCCGCGCCATGCTGCCTGCTCGTCTTCCGGCGAAAACCGTTCGAATCCTCCTGCTCCTACAGAGCAGAAGCCCGCTGGAATCTGCGCCTCCCTCGGCCAGCCCGATTCATGGGCTGGCAGGGAGCAGCACCAGCGCAGTGCCCCATCCACCCTCAGATCGCCGCGGTGCGCTCAGAGGCCGAACTGCTGGATGCCGTCCTTGCCGGTGGCAATCTCCGCCAGCAGGATTCCCATGACCGAGATCATTCCCATGCGGCCGTTGTTGAGCTCCTTGTTCCGAATCTCGTCGCTGTAGCCGCCGCCGAAGGCGCCGAAGAGCCCCGCCCAGTCTCCCGGGTCCCCGAAGTTGCCGGGCTCCTTGGACAGATCGTCATCCTTCCAGTACACGCTCTCCGTGAACGCGGCGATGGGGAGGATGAGGCAGGTGAACCCGAGCACACCCGTAGGGTCGGTGAGCGCCCCGAGCCCTGCAGGGGTCTGCTCGAAGCCCGGGAGCTTCACGAAGTGCTGGAAAGCGGTCCCGAAGGCGGCCATCATGGCGACGCGCCCGTGCTTCAGCTCGGAGCTGCGGAGCTTGTGGAAGCCTGCGTAGTCGCCGACCTGGCAGAACCCCAGCGGATCGAAGTAGCCCAGGGGCGCCGTCACGCCGACCGCCTTGTCAGCATCGTCAGGCCCGTCCCCATCCCCATCCCCAGCGGGCCAGGGTTCCTTGGCGACACCAGCCTACCCCCTCGAGGCCAGGATGGACGCCGCAAAATCCGACGGGGCCGGCATCAATCCCCGCCTGGGGGGGCGGGGGGGGCAGGTCGGGCAGCGGGACCAGTGCTTTCGAAGCGGGGATGGGGTCAGCAGAAGAAGACGACACGGTATAACATTAACTTTTGAAGGCCCGCGCGGATACCTCGCATCGGCGCTGGACCTCGCGGCGCCGGAGGCGCCGCCGTTGGGGGTCCAGCGCAGACCCAAGAGATCCGCGCGGACCCTCGACCAGTTAATCTCTCTATGGGAGATCAAAAAGACCAATGCCGCCTCTCCCAGGGCCACGCCCAGGGCGCACTCTCACCAGGATCCAGAGGCGAATCCGGCCGCGGCGTCGAGGAAGTGGGTAATGGCAGCGGTAGCGGCACCTAGTCCTCCCTTGGGCTCGTGCCGGTCTTCCTTCCTCTCGGGCGCGTGGTAAGAGGGGGGGGGTCCCAAGTGGGTGGTGAAGAGAAGGGCCCCTTGGGGGCCTTCTTTCTTCACCCCCCGGTTATAGGTCACCCCCCAGCACCACCCGCGCGATCCTCGATCGGGGACCTACTGACCTGGGTCCATCCAAACCCCGGTCGGTCGGGCCTTGCGCAAGATGCTGCAAAATCCTGCCGGGTCCTGCAGACTGGCGCACTCAAAAGACCGGGCCGGTGCAGCCCTGGCTCTGCAGGATGCTGCAGGGCCCGGCGCTCGGACGGACCCCCGCTTGCACGGACCCCCGTCCCTTGAGCCCCGACTCGAGGTGGGCCCAACGATGCCGGCCTTGGCCGGGTCGAAGGGCGGCGGGGCCTCCGGGGCCTCCTCCGCCGCGGCGGCGGGCGCCTCCACCACGGCCGTCGCCGCGGGCAGCGCGCGGCGCGGGCCGCGGCCCGGCCTCCTGCCGCCGGCCACGGACGCGGCGGCCAGGGCCGTGGAACCTAGCAGCCAGGGCGAGGCGGCGCCGGCCGGGGTCCTGAAGGGGAAGGGGCGTCGCTTGGAGGACCGCGGGGGGGCTGAGGGGATAGGGGGCGCAGAAGCGGATGCTAAGGCGGGCTATGTGTGTGTTTGTGTATGTGTGTATCGATATAATATAATATATATATATTATATATATATATATATATAATCAAACAAAATATAATATAATATAATGTACTATAATATAATATAATACAATATAAGATAATATAATATGATATAATATAATGTGAAATAATATCATATAATACAATATAATATAATATAATATAATATAATATCTTATAATACAATATAATATAATATATTATAATACAATATAATATAATATAATATAGTAAAATATAATATAATATAATAAGATACTATAAGAGAATATAATATAATAGCATATAACATAATATAATATCATACAATATCATATAATAGAATGTGATACAATAAAAACAAAATAAAATAAACTGTAATATACTAATATATAATATAATATAACATAATTTAATATAATATAATGTATATATATTATAATAATATATTGTAATACAATATATAATATATAATATAAGATATTATAATGTAATATAATATAACAGAATATCATATAATATAATAAATATAATATAATATAATATGATATAATATCATATAATATCATATAATATATCATAATATAAAATAAAATAATACAAAATAATATATTATATTATATTAGCATATCATAACATATAATTCAATACACTTTAATATCATATAACATAATATAATGCAATATAATATAATATAATATAATATAGTATAATATGATATAATATAATGTAATACAACATAATATAATATAATTTAATATAATATAATGTAATATAATATACTATACTATGATGTAATCTATATATATATATATATATATATATATATATATCAATACATATATCGGAGTAGGCCGGGGGAGGGCCCAGAACTGCTGCCTCTGGTTCGTATGGGGGGCCGGGGGGGGCCTTGAGGGCTCCGTTCAGAAGGGGCCCCAGACCCCCCCAGGCTCCCCAGCTGGCCCAAGAGGCGCCAAAAGCGCCCCAGGTTGTCTGGAAGGTGGCTGAAGAGCGCACTGAGATGCCTTCCGGACGGGCCACGAGCGCTCGAAGACAGCCCAAGACTGCTCCTAGACGGCCACAAAGGCACTCAAGACGGTCCAAGAAGTCGCCGAGAAGGCCCTCCGAGGGCAAAAATCAAGCATTTCCGATGGAAAGACGCATAATTCTTGGATATTTGCTTTTCATTCCTACCAGCGGCCGCGACGGCCCCGGAGGCTCCCAAAATGAGCCCCAGACGGCCCCAGAGGCCCCCAAGAGGGCCCCCAGACGGCCCGAGAGAGCTTCAAGCACCACAAGAGAGCCAACACGGCCCAAGAGAGCCCCCAGGAACCCCGAGGGGGCAACCGGAGGATTCCCACGTGGTCGGAGAGGGCCCCAGGAGGGCCCCAAGACGGGCTCAGGTCTCCATGACGGGCGAAGAGTGACCCGGAACGGCCGAACTGGGCTCCCAGAGGGTCCAAAAACGGCCTACCAGGACTCCCTGAAGACGGTCCAGGAGGCCGCTAAGAAGGCTCCCTGATGCAAAAAACTAGCATTCCCCATGGAAATAATACACATTTCTATGATATTCGCTTCTTGTGTTCCATCGGCGACCACGTCGGCCCCAAATGCTCCCCAAATCGCGGTCCACGAAGCCCCCAAGTGGGCTCCTCCAAAACAGCCCGAGAGAGTCCCCATGAACCCCCCACGACTGTCCAAGAGGCCGCTGAGAAGGCCCTCCGAAGGCAAAAAATCAAGCATGTCCCATGGAAAAACGAATATTTCTGGGAGCTTCGCTTTTCAGTTCTACCAGCGGTCGCGACGGCCCAAGAGGTTACCAAAATGGGCCCCAGACGGCCCCAGAGGCCCCAAAGAGGGTTCCAAGATGGGCTGAAGAGA